GTATGGTCCTTCCCAGTTCGGTTCCAGCTTTCCCACGTGCTTGAGTACATCGACACGTTTCCAAACTAGATCGCCAACCTTGAGTCTGCGAATCTTCACTTTCTTGTCATGAGCCACGCGCATCCTCTGTTTATACGCCTCCACCCTGACTGTTGCTTTCCCTCGTAGCTCCTCGATAGTGTCTAAAGCCGCTACCATCAAGTCTTCATTCTATTCTGAATTGTATGCACTCGATCTCTGGGATGGCATCTCGATCTCGACTGGCAACAATGCCTCCATTCCGTAAGCCAAGCTGAACGGGGTCTGTCCAGTGGTCGACCGCGGGGTCGTACGATACGTCCACAACACAGAGTTCAACTCATCGACCCATACTCCCGAGGCTTTTTCTAACTTGGTCTTTAGTCCATTCAGTATGATTCGATTAGTTACCTCGACCTGACCGTTGGCTTGCGGATGAGCTACGAAAGCAAAATGTTGTTCGATCTTCATATCTTCACACCATGCTCGGATCTGCTTACCATTGAATTGTGTGCCGTTATCGGAGATCAACACCTTGGGTACACCAAAACGGCAGCAAATGTTGTTGTATAGAAATTTAGTTACTTTTTCTTCTCTGATCTTCGCCAGGGGCTCGGCCTCAACCCATTTCGTGAAATAATCGACTGCCACTATCAAGAACTTTCGCTGCCCCGTTCCCTGCGGCATTGGCCCCACTAGATCGATACCCCATTGAGCGAATGGTATGGGGGCGCTCATCGTTGTCATCGTCTCAGCCGGTTGGTGGATCAGGGCCCCATGTTTTTGGCATTGCAAGCACTTCTTCACCATCGTTTTTGCATCTTCTCTCATTGTCGGCCAGAAATAACCTGCTCTCAGGATCCTTGCGACCAAGGCCCCCGATTTACTGTGGTCGCTGTAGCAACCTTCGTGCATCTCCCTCAGCACATATCGACCCTCTTCCTTGGTGACACAGCGTAAGTGTGGTCCTCCATATGACCGCTTGTAAAGGATACCTGCCTGCTCAAAAAACCTCCTGACCATCTTTACAGCTCCTCCTTTCAGCTCTTCTAAAATCGGGGCCCTTCAATCCTCTACCTCCTCGATCTCCGCCACCTCCGTCTCAACCACACTTTTCTCCAGATGCAATAGAGTGACACTTCTGCTCTTACAATCGACCAAACTTTGGGCAATTTTCGACAACAGGTCTGCTCGAACATTCTCTCCTCGAGGAATTTGTATTAGTTCGAACGATTCAAACTCCTCTCTCAGCTTCTTCATTTCATCTACATATTTCTGCATCCGATCCTCTTTGACTTCAAAGCCTTCTTGAAACTGCCCAACCACCAATTGGGAATCGGAATGTACTTGCAACTTTCGAGCGCCCCCCGCTTTGGCCAGACTCAGTCCCTTAATCACCGCCTCATATTCAGCTTCATTATTGGATATCTTGAACCCCACCTTAACCGCAAATTCCAAATAATCACCCTTGGGAGAAACCAGAACAATTCCCAATCCTGCTCCGCTTCGGGCCACAGATCCATCCACAAACAACTGCCATAGTCCCTCTGACTCCTCCTCGACTTTCGTGCCTTCCTGGATAAAATCGGCCAACACCTGTGCCTTTATGGCTCTCCTTGGCTCGTACATCAGAGAATACTCGCTCAGTTCAACCGCCCACTTCACCAATCGACCAGAGACCGATGGCCGACCCAATGTTTCTCCCAACGGAATATTCGTTCGCACCTTCACCTTATGATTCAAGAAATACGGTCTCAACTTGCGAGCAGTTACAACCACAGCTAGCGCACACTTCTCGATCTCCGAATATCTCATATCTGCTCCTTGCATCACTCT